CAAGTTCACTAGAACTGAAAATAAATTTATGTGCTACAGAAGACTAAAATAAAGTCTTCTACTTTTCCTTAAGATTTTCTCATTTTATAAATTCTATATATTTTTCTTTCTATGTCTCTCTGTATATGTGCATATATATATGCACATCTATCTCTCTGTATCTACTGGAGCCCTGGTAGTGCAGTGGTTAAGAGTTACGGCTGCTAATCGAGAGGTCGGCAGTTGGAATCCTCCAGTCACTCCTTGGAAACCTTATGGGTTAGTTCCACTCTGTCCTACAGGGTTGCTATGAGTCGGAATCGACTTGATGACAATGGGTTTTGTTTTGGTTTGGTTTTATCTCTCTATCTCCCTATCTATCTCTCTACCCATCTATCAATAAATAGAAAAAAGAGAGAAGTAAGCAGTCAAACATAAAGCAAGAATTGTAGGTTACCCAGGCTTAGAGACAGAGAATACCCATTGCTGTCAAGTCAATTACAACTCACAGTGACCCTATAAGACAGAGTAGAACTGCCCCAGAGGGTTTCCAAGGCTATCATGTTTATGGAAGCAGACTGCCACATCTTTCTCCTGCAAAGCGGCAGGTGGGTTCCAACTGCCGACCCCCTTCGTTTAGCAGCCCAGCAATAGGGATCTTAAAATAATCTGTTGCTTTTATTTTACACAGGAGAAAATCGAGGCCTTAGGAGACCGAATGTCATACCCATAGTTGTACACTGCTCAGCACTAGCAATATTTGATTGATGATAGACTTCCTAATGATTTTATTCAAATCCCACTAATGTATGACATCCTCCTCTGCAACATCCTTAAATGTTAAAATAAAGGAGAACTTGGTCCTCAGTGCTGTACTTTTCTCTCTCTCTACCATCTCTCTAGGTGATATCCTCAAGACCAAGACTCTAAATAGCATCCATAAGCAGCTGAATCCCAAGTTCCTATATTTGGCTATGCCTGACTTCTTCCACATGCTCTAGATTCATATATCCAAAAGCCCAAATTGGCATTTCCACTTGGATACCCCAAAAGACCTCAAGTAGATGTAAATGAACTCCTAAGTTCTCTTTAAGACCTGTTCCTCCCCTAGCTTTAGTTTTCTTAGGAAACAGCTTCAACATCTACCCAGTGTGTTCAGTATGAAACCTAGGGTTCATTTTGCTGCTTCTTTCCTTCATTCCCCACCCTTTATGCAATCTGTCAACACAGCCTGTCAGCTCTACCTTCAAAGTCTTTCCTGAATCTATCCACATCTTTCCAAGATTACATTTCAACACTAATCTAAGCCACTGTCATCCCTGATCTACAGGAATAGCCTTCTCACTTGTCTCTCTATGTCTTTTTTGGATGCCCTATAATCCTTCTCTTCAAGATAGCCAGATGATCTTTTAAAATGATAAATGTCACCTTCCCTGAGACTTCTCCTGACCATTGATCACACAGAGTCCCCCGAGGTCACTCTAATTATTTTACCCTTTTTCGGTTTTTTCCTTCATAGCACTGAAACTTAACAGAAATATTTATTTACTTATTTACTTATGTGTCTGTCTCCCCACAATAGAATGTAATCTCCATGATTGCAAAAGCCTTGGGTGTTTGATTAACCTCTGGTATCCACAGTGTTTAGGAGTCCCTGGTTAGTACAAATGGTTAACCTGCTCAGCTGCTAACAGAAAAGTTGGCAGTCCAACTCTACCCAGAGGCATCTTGGAAGAAAGGCCTGGTGATCTCCTTCTGAAAAATCAGCCACTGAAAATCCTATGGAGCATAGTTCTCCTCTGACACACATGGGGTCACCATGAGTCAGAATTGACTAGACAGCAACTGGTTATGCACAGTGCTTAGAGAGTCCCAAGGTTCACAGTATGCTCAACAGGTATTTGTTGAATGAATCTCTAATAGGCTGTATCTAAATCATAGTGTCTCCTCATTTCACTCACAATAGAAATCAAAAGTCAAAGACCTCTGTGATCTGGTCCCATTACCAATCTGACCCAGTTTCTTGCTACTCTCCCACTCACTCCCTGTGCTCCATTTGTACCAGCTTTCTGTTCCCGGAAGATGCCAGGCACACTCCTGCCTGCTGTTCCTTCAGTCTGTAATGCTCTTCCCCCTCACATCCACATGGCTCATTCTCTCACTTCCTTCAAATCAATATTCAAATATCATTTCAGTAAGGCTTCCCTGGACGTCCTATCTAAAATTTCAAGCAAATTTCTGCATTCCTCCTCTGCTTTATATTCTCTTTTTAGCACTCACCTCTGTTGTACCATATATTTAACTTGTTCGTCTTTTTACTCCCTATCTCCCTGGTAAAATACAAGCTCTCTGAGGGCAGGGATTTTTGTCTGTTTTGTTCATGCCTGCACATAAAGTGTCTAAAATAGCTCTCAACACTTAATAAATATTCATTGAAGAAATGAATGAGCAATTTAATATATTAGCTGTCTTAATAAATTGAGCAGTTGTTTAGTTAAAAAGACTGAACTTACTGAAAATTTTTTGGCTAGTTTTTAAACAGAGTTTTATTCTCATTACTAGTAACTGAGAGATGCTTCCCTCATTTAAGGAGTATCAGAGATGAGAGAAGGTTAATATTTGGAGAACATGAATAATGATTGCAAAAGTTGTGAAATAAATTAAGTAATATTCTCAACTCTGTAGATGGGGTTTACAATAGTTTTGTTAATTATGCTTAGAGATGTTGCTACTTCCTGCTAATAGATAATAAATAGATAATAATAGATAATAGATAATGTACACCTACTAATGGGTGAAAAATCATCCTCCTTTAGCAAACCTCATTAGCAAGTGACATACGCTTCATGTGAAACACCTAGGTTGTGCTGTCTGCTTTTACTGAAATCATTTTCTTCTATATCCACATTATAATTACTTGCTTAAGAGCTAAACTATTGGGTAACCTGCCAGAAGCTTGATGAATTAACTCACAAAACTGGAGTAATTGTGTGCAGAGTTTTTATGTGAAAATGAAAAGTTGGTCTACATTTCACGGTCTACTGAAGTGAAAGGCCAAAGAAACTAATCAGAAATTGCCAAGTGTGAAGGAGGGAGAAGAACAGATTTCTGTCCTGAGCCACCTGGGGCTTTGGATCACTTCCACCTTTCCAGAAGAACAGTTAAATAAATGAAAAGCAATTCTGAAACCAGCAGATAATTTTAGTATAACATGGTGTGCCAAGGAGTTGAGAAGATAGATTACAACAGGGTTACCTTTCTCATTAGGTCAAATACGTCCATTCCAGACTGGCCTATGAGAAAGGAGAGCTGTGGTTTGCTTACATTTGACAGATTCCCTTTATCCCATCTTGGCAGCTCTGAGAACAGGCTCATCCAGTTTCATCTGAAATGTTTTGTTTTCCTTTCGAAAGCAATGATGGTGATATTCTATGGTGTCCATAATCAGTTCTTAAGCAGAAAAGCCTCATGAATATTAAACTGTCAAAATTACCCTTTTTTGATCATCTGTAAGAATCCCCTTTTGCCTTCAAAAAAGGCTAATCCCATCTGGGTAGAGGATTACATTGGGAAACTATGAAAAATAACTATTTGGGGAGTAATGACATGAGACATGTATGGCTCTCAATTGATAATTATGATCTGGACTTTATAGTAGCTTGAAAATTCAATAAAATTAAATACCTCAGGACATAATGCTGAAGTCCAACATTTCTGTCAGCTTTTCAAAGTTTAGAACTATAAAATCCTGCATATGACATATAACTATTACTGAGTATGTATGTATATATACATAAATTTATATTTATATAAGTGTGTATATATGTGTACATAAATATAAATAAATAAACTTATATATAAGTGTATGTAAAAGATACATAAATAAATGTGCATTTATATATAACACATTTAAGTAAATGCTGAAAACAGTCCATATTTTCCTTTTAAACAGAATTAAATCAATAGGTATGGCTATATTATATTAAATAACAATTCTGTTGCTAATGACTCATAAACTTCATGTTATTAATTAGGGCTTAATTTAATAATGTACCATTTAAAAAACTGGAATCTTATACCCTTAATTTTAGATCTTAAATAAAGAGACGGTAAACAAGCCACAGGTGTGTTGACTTTAACCAACCATAGCTTTTTCCTAGGAACACCGCCTCTGCTTTTGCTAGTTATATTTCATCTGCTAACCAAAAGGTCAGCAGTTCGAATCCACCAGGTGCTCCTTGGAAACCCCGTGGGGTAGTTCTACTCTATCCTCTACTGTCACTATGAGTTGGAATCAACTCGATGGTAGTGGGTTTTGTTGGTATTAGTTTTGAGGTGCTTAATCAGGTAATGTTTTTTAGGTGGGGAAGGAAATCTTGGACACTAATTTATTGTGATCACTTGAACAGCATGCACACACAAGCACGGACACACACACCCAGCAGCTGCAACACTTGAATCAGACAGAATAGGAAGTAAGAGCAAAAAACTGGAAAACGAAATTACTCTTGATATCTCAGTGGCTATTTCACTTGAAGAAGTGCAAAGAAATGTCTTAGCACTCGCCTGGCTTGCCTATGCCATGTTTCCTTAAACACATTATTATTGTTATTAGTAGTGGTAGTGGTATATTTATGATTACTATTACTGTTGTTGTTGTTTTGGTTATTGGTTTTGAGATACTGATGGGAGGACATCCGGCATTGCTGTGCCTAGTTTTTTGTCCTAAGCAGCTGTTTGATATGCACATACCAAAACAAAGACAGCCGGCCACGGTTTTCGGATGGTATCTGTGCAGCACACATCACCGTGTCCTTCGCGAGCATTTCTGCAGAAAACCGCAGGTCTACCGCGCTCCCACCCGGAACGAGCCCGGTCCCAAGCACAGCCTGCGGACGCGCCCCCTCTCCCGGGCCTGCCGATCGCATCCACGTCTCACTTCCTTTCGCAGGCAGCCGCTGAGAGCTCCCTGGATGGGTGGGAACACATTCCAACAAGAACAGCCCAGCTTCCCCACTCACCAGCCAGCCTGTGAAGTTTCCTCGGCCGACAGGGCTGGGTGTCAGATTTCAGAGCGGGTTCCTGCCCCTCTCCCGAGGCCTTGAACTCCTGGCCTTCAACACCAGCAGCAGGACGGCATCTGCCTTTGCAAGACGATGATCATGAGGATAGCTCCTATATCTCCAACCTGTGACCCTGGATCTGTCCCCGGCCCTGCCCAGCAGGACGGAACGTGGCAGGGCATGTAGCACCACCCCTTGCAGCCGGCCTGAGACGCCGGGATCTGAAAGGTTTGTGTGAGAAGAAGGCGTGTCTCCCAGCCCCAACGCGGATGTGAGGAGCTCACCTCAGGCATGTCTTGCTGGTGACTCAACTGCTGGAATGAGAAACACACTTGGCTTTTGGTGACATTCTCCGCACTGTGGGGCTTCAAACCCTAGCAGTGAGTTCATTTTTATTCATTTATTTCTCTGGGTTTTTCTTCTACATCTCTGATTCAAAGAGCCCAGGGCACTGGGAGGGGAACTGCTTCAAATGCTCCTTTATCCTCTCGGAGGGGAAGTGGTTCCTTATTAACTAGAGAGAAAAAGCAAGGAATTCCAAGTGGAGAACAGAGAAGCGCCTGGGGAAAGAAAAGGGGAGCTGGAAAGAAATTTCTATTTAAAAAATTAGGATGTATTAATATGAATATATTAATCAGTATCACCAGCCTTCCTTGCTTTCTAAAGTCAATTCAGAGATCAGGAGAATTCATGGTGGTGCAACGGTTAAGCACCCAGCTGCCAACTGGAAAAGCTGGCGGTTGGAACCCACCCAGTGGCTCTGCAGGAGAAAGATCTGGCAATCTGCTCCCTATGGGGCAGCTCTCCTCTGTCACATGGGGTTCCTATGAGTCAGAATCCATTTGATGGAACCCAACGACAAGCACCATGCTTCGCTGCTTTCTAGTAAATTCAGATATCAGCAAGTTAGTAAATAAAGACTGTCTATGAGGTCAATCAAAATAATAAATGCACATATGTGTTGAACAAATATTTATTCAGTATCTACTGTGTGCACGCCCTGTTCTAGGGACTCTGGAACTATCTTCCACAAAACAGACAAAGATCTTGGCTGGCTCTTTGAGGTTACATTTCAGACATACTCTGACATTCCTAGTTTACAGAGTGATGTTAAAGAATGCAAGTTGAATACATACAATCAAAACCCAAACCCAGACCTGTTGCCATGGAGTCAATTCCAACTCAGGGTGACCTCACGTATTACAGTGTACAACCGAGTTCCACCGGAAGCAGTTCACCAGGCCTTTCTTTGTGGCGCTGCTGGGTGGGTTTGAACTGCCAACTTTTTGGTTGATAGCTGAGTACAAACTGTTTGCGCCACCCACAGACCTTGAATACGTATATGTATATATAAAAACCAAACCCATTGCCATTGAGTCAATTCCGTAATAGCAGTTACTTTATTCCATTGCAAGAAAAATAAAAAAGGTCCAAACCTGGCGTTTGCATTATGCTGGTAAACAATGAGATGGCCTCTTCCATGTTAATTGTTTGACCAGTTCTGACCGGGTGCCTTACAGATTTAGTTTGTGAGGTGCTGGCATTATCAGGTGGGTGCTTCCCCCTGAGCAGTTTTGTGGAGAGGAGGTGAAAGAAGAGCAAAATGCCCGCCAAATCAAAGCAAAGAAACAAACAGAAAAATCAAACAACACAATGTATTGGGATATTGGAGGAAACATTGGGTCTCACAGAAATCTGAGTTGGAATTGACCAATGGCAACGGGTTTGGTTTGTTTGTTTTTTTAATTAGGAAATTATGGAAGTTCTATTTTTTGAATTTTTTTAAAAATAATATTTTATTGTGTTTAAGGTGAATGTTTACACAACAAATCAGGTTCCCATTTTACAATTTCTACACAAATTATTCAGTGATATTGGTTACATTTTTCACAATGTGTCATCATTCTCAATCATTCCGTTCTGGTTGTACTATTTCTACTACTCAAGTTTCCCTTCCCCTTTATCTTCTCATCTTTGCTTAGAGTAATTTTTGACCATTTGGTCTTAAGAAGTTCTAATTTTTTGTGCCTCGATGTTCTTATTTTTAAAGTAGGGATAACAGTAATGCCTTCATTAGGTCATTTTGAGTAAATGAGTTATCTAAGTAAAATGTATAGAACAGTGCTTCGCACAGTAAGCTCTACAAACATGTTTGCTGTTATTATTTTGGTTCGCTTAATCTACTCCATTCTCCCATGACTCAGTCCAATTCATTAAAAAAAAAAAAAATTCTGATCTACTAGGAGAAAATATATGTGTTTCAGGTTGTAGATTTTCAAATTACATATGCTGGAATCAATATTTATAGTAAATCAACTTTGCATCATCAGCAATATCTATACATGCAAGTGTGTGCCCACAGGTCTGGGTAGAACGAAAAGGAAGAACATAACAATATTGAATTTATTCCACTCTATATATTATTAATTTTAAAGTCATTCTCTCTGCTATCTAATGACCATCTGTATTCTTTACCTAGTTTATGCCTTCACTTACTAACCTTAATCCTAATAGATATTATTTCCTGTATATGATAGAGTTTATAAAGCCCTTGCCCACAGATCATCTCATTTGATTTTCACAACATTGCTTTGAAATAGGCAAGCTATCTATTATTTTTATTGTCCCTATTTTAAGAGTGAGGAAACTGAGGTTGAGAAAGTCCTAACAAATTGCCCAGAATCATGAAGGTCAGGAAAGGTAGAACTCAGGCCTATCAGATCCTAAATGCTGAGCTCATGGTGGTCACCACATTGTACCGCCTCCCTATTATTTCTGGAAAAAGTTTCTGCCATGAGACAATCTAACACACTTTATGGTCCTCTCTCCTTGTCACTCTTCCCCAGATGAGTGTGTCTCCTAGAGTCAACTCTGGCAGGGACAGCTCTCCCGGAGTCACTTGCCACAGACAGTCCTGTCTTTCAGGTTCAGAGGCTCAGAGCCATTAGTGTGACATAGTGATGCTCCCTGAGAGTGGAGGGATGCTTCCTCCCTCTAGGAAGAGGGGTTCCAAGGAGGAGAAGGCAGTGGGAGGACATGAGAAAAATGTTGCTTGGCCACTTCCCAAAAGTCACTTTGACCAGATGTAAAGCAGAATAGAAAGATACTAGAAAACCAGTGAAAGCAAGGTGACAGCATCATGTATCATAATGTGAAAAAGCTTCCTGTACCTGAGTTTATGTAGCACAAATTAAATAGACATCATTTCTGTCTTCAGTAGGATTATAATTCAATAAATACAGCCCTGAGATAAACAGATATATAAATTACCTGGGGAGACTTCTAGTTAAAAATGGAACATTGACCACATGTGTTTTATCTCTTCTTCTCCAAACTCCTCGAACAGAAGAGTAAATGAATTTTTAAATAGTTATTAACTCGTTGTTGTTGTTAGGTGCCATCAAGATGATTTCGATTTATAGTGACCACATGTGACAGAGTAGAACCGCTCCACAGGGTTTTCTAGGCTTTAATCTTTATGGGAGCAGATCTCCAGGTCTTTCTCCCGGGAGCTGCTGGGTGGATTTGAGTTGCCAACGTTTCGGTTAGCAGCTGAACGCTTAACTGTTTGTGCCACTAGGGCTCCTTAACCTGTAAGGACAAATAAAAAGGAGAGGAGATATCACAGACACAACAGATTGCAATGAATTTTGAGAAGAACCTAAATCAGATGGAGCTTGGTCACTGATTTGGAAGAAGGAAGGATTTATATACACACCGCATGCCTGTTGGAGAGGTTAAGGATAAGAAGCCAGCCAATTCTCCCTGCCTAACCCTGGGAGGCCCAGGCTTTGGAGGCATAGGTGGTAGGTGAAGGCCCCTTATACAAAATGCTTGGAGCCAAAGTTCCCTTCCCCCATGCTATGCAATCTACTAACCATAAGCTCTTCATCTGCCCAACCTAGCCTCCAGGAGGCTGGAGGTTTATTTTCTAGAGAAGATAAACTAGAGTGATTTGTGGCTCAACAAGATGAACTGAACATATGCATTCATATCTCTGCTCCTACAAGACAGGAATAGAAAAGAAATTTATATACAAGAAAAACCTTTTGAAAGTTAAACTATACTCAGAAATTTAAAAATATGATAGATGGTTTAGAAGATTGTTGAAAAAGACTTCAAGAAAGTAGAACAAAAAGATATAGAAATTAAAAATTGGAGAATGAATAAAACATTTCTGACTAATTGGAATCTTAGAAAGTTCTAGAAAAGTTTTTTTTTTTTTTTCCTATCCAGAAAGGGATGGAAAAATTAAGTAATGAAATGATGGAAAACAATTCCAGAAATGAAGACCGGGGACTATTGAGGTCAATAGTTCTGCCTAAAGTCTAGGAGAATAAATTTTAAAATTATTTATACACACAAAGATACAACATTCCAAATATTAGAAGCCCAGGAATAAAGACAAGAACGTAAAACATCTTCTAATAACATAAAGCACCTCACATATAAGGAAAAGAGTAAAAGTTACATTGTCTTTTGAATGTCTTCAAATTTTCAGAACAAAATTCTTTTTAATTTAGAACTGTATGTCCAGTTAAATTATCAGTCGAGTGTGATTAAAGGCATTTTCACACATGCAAGGACCCAAAAAATACATACTTCCCGTGTGCCATTTTTAAAGAAGGGTTCCAAGAACAAGCATATAAATCAAGAAAGAGAAAGAGGTAGATTCCAGGAAATGCAGGTCTAACGTAGGAGACAGTAAAATGAACTCTGCAGAACAACTGTTGTGATGCGGCCCTAGAAGGAAGTAGAAGTATGGATGGTTGCAGTAGGAATGGCTGTAGGAAAAAAAAAAAAGAAAAAGATAGAAACTGAAACCGATAGATTATTTGATGTACATGTGAATTTAGAAAAATTATTGATAAATTGTTTTCTGTAACGACTGGCAGTCCACATCAGATTCTAGGTTCTTCTCTTTATCTGGAGCACTCCACTACATTACATTTCTTAGGCCTCTGCAGCTGAGGAGATGGGGAGGCATGTGACTGAGTTTTAGCCACAGAACATGGACAGAAGTGACGGATACTACTCCCAGGTCATTCCCATAAAATGACTTAGGAGCTCCTCCATGCTTTCTCTCTTCCCTTGTTACTATTCAGCTGCAAATAATCAGGGCAGAGCTTTGAGCTCCTAGACCATATTAAAGGTCCTAGATGAAAAAAAAGGAGCCCTGGTGGTGCAGTGGTTAAAGTACTCGGCCGCTAACCAAAACTTCAGAGGTTCTAACCCACCAGCCCCTCAGTGGGAGAAAGATGTGGCAGTCTGCTTCCGTAAGGAATTATAGCCTTGGAAACCCTATGGGGCAGTTCATCTCTATGAGTTGGAAATGACTTGATGCCAACGAGTTCGAGTTTAGATAAAAAGAGT